GAAGGGTGATGCCGTAGATTGTTTGCTTATTGTGAGGAAAGAGGTCTCACTTGTGTTGTTTCCTTCATTACTGGATGACTTTTACTTGAAATTGTTATTGTGAGCATGTGATTTTTGCCTAGCTTAAATTACTCCTATAAGATTCTTAAAACTAGGATTTTTCTTTATTTGTGTGATTTTTAGAATTTAATTGCATAATTGTGTGTTTGTTTGCATTTTGAGTGCATTTTAATCCATAAAAATATAAAAAATAACACGCCTGCATTTAGGATACCATTTTAATATGTTAGGTTCATTAATTAGTTAACATTACAAAAAACGGAAGAAAATAACAAAAATAGTTCTCTTCGAATTTTTACCTTTTAATTTGAGTTTACCTTAAATTTTCTTTTAAATTAGGATTTAATTAATTTTTGAATTTAATTAGCTTAATTTTAGATTTAAATCAGGTCTGTGCTATTTTTTATGTTAATTTGGTATTTAATAAAATCAAAATTAGTAATTAAAATAAATAAGACAAAAAAAGAAAAGAAATTGAAAAAACATTTGGCCTTGTTTAAAAGACCCAATCTGGGCCATTTCCTTAAGGCTAAACCAGCCCACCTCAGAGACTCGGTCCAGCCCCCCTTCTAATTAAAACGACGCCGTTTTATGGTTTTAGTCACGACCGTTGAGTCTCATCAATCCAACGGTCTGGAACTAACTAAGTTTAAGGTATAAAAATGTCGGAAACCCCTACCTCCAAATCGTCTCTCCCATCACCCTATTACACACCGGCGTAACACTACCACCTTTCGCCGTCCGCCGGCCGGCCGGAAATTACCTCTGCCAGCGGCGATGCTTCGATGGCCACCAAAATTACACCACCCCACCTTCTCGACCTCATCTTTCCATCCCTGCTATTAGTGTCTTTTGAATGTCAACTGAACTCGTCGAATATCAGTTTGAATCAATGACTGCTCCGCTACCTACGGCGGCACCGATGCCAATCGCCTCCAAACTAACACCCTATATTCTCTTAATCTCTCTCATCCTAAATCTGTAAGCCTTAGCCTTCGAATGTTAGCCCAGCTCCTCGAATTTCAATTTGAAAATCTGGTCAAAAACTCACCATCCTCCAAACCCTCCCAAAATCGTACCACATGGTCTCCTCAACCACCTCAGACCAATTCCTAAACCAAAATCCCTCGAACTCGAGTGGAATCCCTTAGATTTTAAATCTAGAGTTCGATTTGGGAAGGAATCTGCCTTGCCAGGTTTGCATGTATTCGATTGATCCTCCAGTTAATATTATGTGTTCATTTTGGCAAAATGAACATATAATATTAGTTGGGGACCAATCCCAGAGTCAATCCAAGTTTCAACCGAAATCAGTGAGTCCTGATCATTTTCCTTCTTTATTTGTTTTGCTTTCTATTTAGATGTTTTCTTTTGTTCATTCCCTTTGCATGTTTTTTTTTGGTTGAATTAGAGTTTTCAATTTAGGTCTGTGATTTTTACATATTACATCCATATAGTGTTAGTTTTGCCCTTAGTTATGATTTGATTATCTGTTTGTGTCTATGTGTGCCACTGATTTTCTTTAGATTTTAGGGATTAGTTTAATTGATTCCATGTTTGCTGGGATTTCTTTAGGTTTTATTCATTTTTCTATTTTTATAGAGTAGCTTCATGTTTGAATTGTCGATTTGCTCATCTGCTTTTTTATTAGTTCAGTGACAAAAGTAGCCTTTAGACATAGTATAAATTATAGTTAAATTCCAGTTCTGATTAGAGTTAGATGGATTTAATAGTTCAATTTTAGGGATTTTGATAATTAGGTTTTTTTTGTTATAGCTGAATAGTTTCTAGCTCTTGTTAATTAACCAGGGTCATTCTTGACCAAGTTAAAAGAGGTTGTGGTTAGTTAACATAGGACAGTAATTTCAGGACTAATTCAGGGGTAATTTAGATATTTCAAAATAGAGAATAGTGCAGTAACTGAAATTGGAACCCCCTAGAGCCTTCTAGAAAGGGTTACTAATTTGAATTTCAGGAACTTGGTAGTATAACTTGACCAGCAAGTCAATAACTAAGGGACTAACTAAGTAAGAACTGAAAATAAAAGAGGGACTAAAATGTGTAAAATAAAATCTGAAAGAAGCCCTAGCATTTGCCTATAAAAGGCAGTCTACCCTGCCTTACAAGCTAAGTTTAGAGACCCCAAAATTTAGAAATTCAAAAGAATTCAAATCAGCTCATAGAAGTTTATAGAGCAAAACTCTGAAAAAATAAAATTTTCAGATCCAAAACTACTGAAACCTACAAAAAAATCCAAAAATTCTGATAGAAAGTAGATAGCTTAGATATAAAATAGAAACAAAAATTAAAAAAATCATCAAAATATAGTGTAGAAGTCCTTCCAGATCTCTTTGGTTGACCAATCACTTTGGTTTATCAAGTGTGGTCTTCAAATTCAGCTGGTTATTGCTTGTGTGAAGTTGTTTGGAATTTACTGCAATCTATACTTCATCCCTGGGATTCTGAGCTGTTGTTCTGCTGTAATTGTTGTTTCTTCTGAGTTGCTGCTTAGCTGATTCTTTTTTCTCACATTTTGCTTCAATTTCCAGGTACAAGTTCTGAACCTTGGATGATGTAGTGTCTAATTTGAGCGATGAAATGGAAGTTTATGGCTCATTCGACTTTGTTCCTTGCTTGCTGCTCATTTTTTTGCACTTGTTCATAGTATAGTTTAGTTAAATTTTGAGTAATATAGTATTGTAACTAATTTGGACAGCTAGATCCTCTGAAACTATATGAATATAATATTGTTAGTTGGTTGAAAGCTGTTTGAATAGTTGAACGTTATTTGAGTAGTTGGATGATTAGATTAGTTGGTTGTTGTAATTTGTTCACCATGTGCTGTTAAATCTAGGATTCAAAGTAGTGCATTAAAAGTCAAAACAATGTGATATTCCAGATTCATGTTGTATTACATATTAGTTTGGAGTAATGTTGTATTGTGGTCCGGGCCTGGCCCAGGACCGGCCCAGGACCGCGGTCATAACGGGCCTAGTGGGCCGGTTCTGGTGGGCATGGGTCTAGTGGTGCAAAAGCCCATGGTGGGCTAGTTCAGGACAAAAAGCCCGTGAGCCCTAGACTGTTAGACCCGGGACCTCCCAGGCGGGCCTGGGCCGGTTCAACCGGGCCTAGCGGGCCTAACGGGGCTCCAACAGTAATTCTTTTTTTAAAAAAAATTGTTTAAAAATTGGCCAACGGTCAAATTTTTAAAATCTAGCCGTTGGCCTTCAAAATTGATCCGTTGGCCACTTTAGAAAATAGTCATTTGGCCCCCAAATTTTATATAGTTATACTTTTTCCCAATTCTCAACTACAAATACCCCCTCATTCTTTTATTTTTACTCACCAATTCACCAATCTCTCTCAATCTCTCTCAAGCTCTCTCAATCTATATCTAATTTCTCTTCTATAATTGCTTACTTTATTATTGCAATTTTGTGAAAAATTATGAAGTTGGTGAATTGAAGTATTCAAGTCTTCAAGTCTTCAACGATTTGCAATATTCAAGAAGTTGTTCGGCAATTCGGTAAACTCGTTCCAACTCTTAAGTTTTAAGAATATATTTTTGTGTGTTTTAGTTTGCATAATTGTAATTAATATG